GAGGTACTAAAATAAAGGGTCACCAGTGTGTCTTTTGATTCTACCAACTAGTGATCAACAGTCTTGTTTCACGTACTCTCAGGTTTCAGGCAACTCTTTTTGGGTATTAAGTGTTATAAATGTTTCTATACTCGTCACTGAACACTAGAGACCAAAATAATGTTTAAAATACGGCTGCCATTTAAGCTAAAGTCAGTGTGGGTGATAATGTGCTCATTAGAACTTGTCGAAATTGCTGATTTCACACAAAAATATGTCGGAAACCAGACAATGTTTTTAGTTTATCGTATAGCTTTGTTTCACGCAGTACTATTTTGCATAGTTTGGAAGTGACAGTGAGAAGAAGATGTGTGTCGAAAGAGGTAGGGTAGAGTAAAACAAAGTGGTGATACTATTGAATAAAATAGCTCTTATTTTTATTTATCAAAACAACTATCTACTAGTCTGGAATAGACTGCAGTTGACGATACCAAGAACTGCGGTTGTATAAGCAGCAAAATCATAGCATCAAAGTTATTCTCCTCTGCAAAATTTTACCTGCTAAATTTAAAGGGAAAATTTCTTTGCTTTTGCTCCACTTTACCATTTTATAAAAGTGAGCAAAAATTTTAGAGTATCGCAATCGGTGTCGTGCATGTCGTTTAAAAAAATGTTTTGACGCTGGTATGGATGCAAGAGGTTGGTACTTTTAAACAATTATTAATTTGTTTTTTCTTTTTTTTTTATGAAAGTCTTTTGTAGACTTTTGGAAAAATGTGCTTTTGTGTCAAAAATTTCACAATGTTTTTTCTTTGGAAGGAGGAGAAAATTAAAAAAAGATACTCGAAAGAAAAGAAACCTGAATGACAAAATACCGTTTCTTTTCAACCACTAGCTTTCCATTTTTGTAATTGCCTGTTTACAGATTTGATATGTTAAATTTTTTCTTGTATGATTTGTTTTTTAAATTGCTGATTTTTTACTTTAATAAACAAAGGTAAACTAATCTTAGCTGTTCAAAGCGAACGAGATAAACATAAGAAGAAACGTCTACGAGATTCGCCACCGATTGGAGAGTTAAGTCCAACCTTAAGTAGCTCAGGAAATGAGTCAGTAGTTCCAAGTATGATCAACTTATACTTTTTAGGCTGCAATTTTACATTCTTCTGTCTAAAATTCTTTACCTTTGGAAGATTCTAGTATTTTGAAATAACTCGACCGTAAAGTTTTCTTTTTTTTTTTTAATTTTTTTTTTAATTTTTTGGTCAACAAAAATTGGTAGCTTAACGGACTTTGATTAAGATAGACTTGATTAATTTTTGCACTTTTCTACTCTAGAAGCTGTCATAACCAAGAATTTATCAATTTGGCCAGAAAGCTAAAAATATTTCTCTATATATAAACGTTTCTTTTTAAATTTTTGGACCGCAGGTCAAAAACAAAAATTACAAATTTTTGTACAGTCATCAATATGTTGACTAAATCTTTATCGTATAGCGTCATTTCAGCTAATTTTAGTACGAAAAACTAAGAAGTTGATGTTTTTCAATTTGCACTGCTTTTGCAGATCTTGAGTCGTTTTGTGATGAATCGACACTTAATACTAGTCTTGGAACATCGAAAACAAGCGTTCCCGATGGTAATTAAATTTTTTGCTGACCATAGCGTAAACCTATTAGGAAATTTAATGTTTACCTATTTATCTTATTAAATGTGATTTTAATGTCGGTTATACGACGTAGCAACTGAAACTAAATTGACCTCGTTTTGAAGGCTGCGTTTCTCGAGCTTTTGCCGAAACTCTAAGTAACAACCAACAAATTTTGCTTCCACCTGCGGAGGTGAGTGCAGCTTATGAAACAACACAAAAATTTGTTCAATTTACACCTGAAGAAGCTCTTATTGCTCGAGTACCTTTGGTTGCATACCTTATGGGACGGGTTAGTTACTCTTCTTTTTTGATGTTTTTTTTTAAGAGTGGAGTTGTTTCACACAGTTATATAATGATATTTTATCATTTAGATATAATTTTTCAGCAGTTTATAGATTAGTCAATTTGTGGTCGTAATAACATCAAAAAAATTCTAATCAGCGATAGCTCTTTAATAATGGTACAAGTAAAGCGTTGGTTTTTTAATAAAACTCTTTTCTGAAAAGCTGAGAATGGAATTTCAGGAACGAATATGTGATAATATGCGAGATCCGGATTTGAATGAAGAAAATGTTTCAGAAAAATTTGAGTCGCTATGTAGGGTTGATGTAACAATCGAAAATGCTTTACGACAACCAGGACTTGTTGCAAAAAGAACTCCGGTAATCAGATAAGAATTTATAGTTTTATGTCTGATGAAGTATAAATATGTTTGAATAAAACTTTGAGCGTTTCACAGTGAAAAATGTTCAAAAACAAGTGCAGTGAAGTTATTTAGCCAAAATACCAAGTTACAAAATTTTGACCTGACTAACTTTTTTTTTTTTTTTTTTTTTTTT